GTCACCGTTACACCAACAGCAAGGGCAAAAAGGTAAGCTAACACGAGGAATGACAGTACCTCACACATCAACACACTTCAGGGGAAAAATTACAGGGAAGAAATCACAGGCCAGCAAGAGAAAAAGAACACCTCTTCTAGTCTACACAACACCCAACACGTGACGTTTGTTTTATGGGCTGGGTGTTCAGGCACACTTCTTGCTGGGTTCTGTTGGTACTGACAGCCCAACAGGGATGTGGAAACACACCACAGTGTTCCCAAGACAAAAGGAAAATATGGAGCCTCTGAGGTGGAAAACGTCCTGGAGAAACAGAGCAACTCCCCCCCTGCCCTTCATCCCCAGACCTGTACAAAAGGGACAGACGCCTCTGAGAAGTCACTGTGAAATGATGTGCCACCTGTGTCTGCTCTTGGCACTTCTCTAACAAGTAGTCAGCTCGTCCACATTAACAGGCATGCAATTAAAATGCAAACTACTTTGAACCATGTGAGGGACCAGCAGAAACCAGTCAGAGCCTGGAGCGGGGAAGAGGTCTTTAGAGGTTGGAAGGTGGTGCTGGGAAGCATGTATAACTTTGAAAAACAGTAGTGGGCAATTCTATAGACAGTGCTTGGCTCTGGTGCCCACGTTGCATGAACTGTCTCTGCCACTTTCTACAAAGTTTCATCCACCACATCTGGGAAGTACTGCTCCCATCCAGAACTCGCACCCTATAACTTAAGCTTAAATAACCTCCTTGGGTCTGGCTACAACTGTAACCCATTACCACACGGAGTTAAAAAAGCCCCATAAGTAACTAAATGCAGAAAGTTTCACTCAGCATGACTTCAGCATAACTGCTTAGGGGGTTCCTACAAATTTACTATTTGCTTCCTGTTGTGATTGCTATTTTAAGACTTTTTCCAGGAAAAGGTGAAGAGCAGCCATTGGAAAAAGACATGGGCTGTGGGTTCCGGCTGAGCCGCAGCTTGTGACCTCTCCGGCTGGTCTGCTGGCCCGCGCTGGGCTGGCGTGCTTATCGCAGCCCCTTTTGTACGTGCCATTGGTGCATCTCTGGGCGGAATAGAAAAGGTGGAGGAGGAACCCAAATGCGGGGAATTCAGGCTTTGGGTTAGGCAAATACAGAAGATAAATCTGTGTTTGCTCCGGGGTCTTCACGTCACCCACGGGAATGAGCCTGACAGCTCTCCTTCCGCTGGTGCCTTTACAGTGGGATCACAAAGCGCTTTGCACATCCATCACCTGCGTAACTGCCCCCTTTTCCCCCTTCACCATTCTCGCTGCCCAGGAAGCTGCACCAATGGTTTGCTCTAAAGACCCGTCGGTCTGTACAGTCGCTCAGTTCAAGAGGCTGAGTGGTTTAAACATCGTACGAAACAGAGGGTCTTCAAGACAATGCTGGGCAGACTGAACAAACCCAGAAACTCACCTCCAGAAACAACAAAGCAAGGAAAATGCTAAACGGAAAACAAAACAAAAAAATTGACAAAAATAAGAATGAAACAATGGGCTCAAATTAAAACACAATAACACATGTTAAACAGATATTCTGTTTTAAACCAAACATTACAACAATGACAAGAACAATGTACCGTCCCAGCTTTTAACCTTGAAAAACCACAAAACAAAAAGGCCCTCTCAGGATAGAGTTCACCAGGTGAAAACGCAAACTGTGGTTGGACAAATCTGTTCAGATTCGGTCCCTTTGGCAGAGCAAAAGATAAACTACAGAAGTCCTGGGAGATCGATGCAGTAGGAGCTGCAAATCGAATGCAGGTAGAATATTGTAATAAAGCACTTCGTAATAAATATCTCAACTCCATTGTAATAAAGCACTTTGAGTAATAAATATCTCAACTCCATTGTAATAATGAGTATATTATTAAAACAGATCCCCATGACACGGTAGCGCTTCACCATCTATCAATCACAAAACACTTCACGGCCCACACAGCAGCCTGTTGCATGTGTAAGGGTGAAGGTACCTCTTCGAACCCTCCAAGCAAGCTGTCACCCTAAATAAGCAACCAGTTCCTTAAGTCCAGGGAATTACAGTTTGCAACTGATGCAATAAATAGAACATTTTCTGGAGCTCAGTTGTGAAGAGAGGCTGGAATAGCAGAGGAAAGCAGAAGAACCGGTGCAGATGAACTGCGGGCACAGGAGCATACGAACCACGAGCGCATGCTGTATTCCCACAGGAAAACTGCCCGAGGCCGAGGAGCAGGTACAAGACGCAGAGTATGCGATGGCTCAGGGGAAGATACACGCGCGCAGTCCTTGATGTAGGACTGACAAGGGAAAGAAGCAAAACGGCAGGCTCAGCACCTTGCTGGTGAAACAGCAGAACAACCGGTACGACTTTTCACCAGACTCAGCCCCAGGATGGCTTTATGACCTCTGTGGGAGGTGGACAAGCATGCCAGGAACATGAACATCATGACTAAGGAAATGCAAGTCATGGTGCCCTCTGGTAACACCTAAAAGACCTGTTTTGATTGATGCAGGTAGAAAAAACATGTATGTTTTCAGAACATTGATCCATGCTAATAGATGCCTGTTGTTATAGAAATTCCTTTTCATATGTTACAAAAGTAAAATCAAATTCTAAAACTAATGAATTATTCTTTCGGAGAAAATGGAAATATAAACTGGTAGGGTGGACCCACCTTTGCAGCAGGCCTTTGGTAGCTCAGTCCCAGTTTTTCCCAGCCCCTGCTTGCCACCCACTTAGGGGTACACAAGCTCTATGGGTGTTGTCTTTTTGCAGTGATATTTCCACATCCCAAAAAATCCTGTTTCCAAGCATCCCCAGCACGTTTTCATTCTTGGTATGTCCAGCTCTGAATGACTTGAGAGGCTCGATCTGACAGGTCTTGCCATCCACACGGCATCTGCTTCGTCTTCAGCACCGCCGTGTAGCTTCAGACCATAAGAAATGTAGAAATGGCTGTCAGCCACGGGTCCCTATCATCAGCCCTACTGGACCGGATAAAGGTATCGAAGGGGTAGGTGTTGCAAACCTGAAAGCTGTAGCTACTAAGCCCCTTTGGAGTTCACTGTGGATGTATTTATGTATTAATCAAATCATCTTTTGGATAATCAATCAGCAATCCATCCATACACTTATTTCTCTCTCAGAAAACATCTAACTTCTCCCTTGCCTTCTCCTCTATGTCATTATCCATTTGGTCGTCAACCTATTGACCTTGGCGCGTTCTTTTTCCAAACTAAAGTCCTGCAAGCTTTGCGAGAGGCCTCGTAAGCACCGCGCTGGCACTGAAGGAGGGATAGTGAGAAGTCACGCAAGGGTTGTTAGGTGGTGGCTCCCACGCAGCATGCATGGTGTTGTCACGGTTAGTAGATGTGGAAGCAATCGATTGCACTTTCAAACGTGTTCACTTGTAAGCCTAATTATCTGCCTGTACAAATGTGGCATGTAGGGATCTGGGCAGATATTTGAGGCAAAATAAGCAGAAATCCACAATTTTGTACTCACTTTCAATTGTGGCCACAAAACTCACCCTGTGATATTGAAAACCAGGTGAAAGCCTGGTGAAAAATCATGGAATAAGGTTATTTTAAGCAACCAACACTGTGGTATGAAATCTTAGCTCCATTAAAGTGTTGTGGGTTTTTCTTCTGGTTTCTAAGAAATCTCCACATGCACTATGCTTTTGATTAAAAAAGAAGAAAATATGCATCATTATCTTGCATCTTAAAATAACAGTATCAGGAAATTCATCAAAGAACACGAGCAAATATCCTCATTTGACTTCTTTTCAAGACTGGACAGGAAATCATTCTAAGAAAAGGATTACGTTCAAAACCAACAAACAGACATGGCATAAATAGGAACTGATTAAACCAATAATTGCAAAATAAATTAGTAAGAGGAATAAAATAGTCAAATTAATAATATTCTTTACCTTCACATATAATGAACTGGCTCCATTTGGCCTACTGTCTTTGATGTAGTGGATTAAACACCCACTAACAAGGGTCTCAAGAGATTTACAGCGAAGGAACAAGCAGGGATCCTGCTGTATTTCAGATAGTTTGGAATAAAATCGAACAGGAAATTTCTTTTTCTATGCTTGAGCTGCTCCAGCTTTTGGAGGTCTCCGCTGCAAAAGGGAGCCGGAAAACAGCAGCAGCTCTCAATAAAACGCACAACCAAATTTTTTGATGCTGGAAGTCCCGATAACTAAAATTCCGGAAAAGGTAAATGAACCCTTAAGAAGAACATACTTTTAAGCAAATCCACTCAAGATAGGCATGTCTCAAACACAGGCTCGTAACCCCAAGCAGGCAGAACTCTGCACTGACCTCCAGGCAAGTATTCCCACCTACATATTTATTTTTCACTCGTTTTAGGTCAATGTGTATGAAAAGGTGGGCCCTGAGGCACCGTTTCCTAAGGACTCTGGTGTCAGAATTTGTGCTTATGTCCACATCTGTGCAGGAACGCCTGCATCTGGAAACGCAGATTGATGTTTCTAGCTACAAACCAGCGACTGTTCGCATACCTGATTTTATTCAACCCAGCGCCCCTTCAAATGGCAAAGAGTGTTCAGGCATGTTTTTCAGCCTGATATTTAGGTGGATGCCTTCACACTTGAATTCTTGAAGCAGAGATCATTAAAGAACAGTTAATACATTATGTGCACACATAACTCTCGTAATTAAAAATCCAAAGTGAAATGTTAACACTTCACCTGGTGAAATCTATCCTAGGGCAGCTTAAAAAAATCCTAAAATACAGTTATTTATAACAAGGCAAAAGATGAGGTGTTACAAAGAAAAACAAATTGAAAGAAAAAATCAAATTCCTCGTTAAGCGATCAGCGCTGATGTATTCAGTCAACCTAAAGCCCTGTCAAGTAACAGAGACGGCATAAAAGGGCTCACAGAGTACTGTGGGATGCTCCACTTGAACAGACACTGAAAAACAGAAACCAAATGATAAATTTCCCAAATAATAAAATAATGCTTACGCGGCTATGGAAATGTTAGCTGCAGACATGGGGCTGACTTCTGCCACTTCCTTGGCCTTTTGCAGCGCGAGCTTTTGGTTGGTGGCTTCCTCCATCTCCTCCTCGTCCTGGAGCCAAAAAACAAGAGAGATCAGAGCATGCATCACGTAATGACAATAACCAGAGCTCCCCAAGGCACAGATCGTATGTGACCGTCACTGTTACACTGTGAGAACTGTGGAAATTCATTAAAATAAGGCAGAATTTCACAACTTCTTGCAAGGACTCCTGGGTAGAGCAACAGCTTGGTGGAGATGAGAAACGCAAGGTTTGGTCAAGTGCTCAGTGCGTTTTTACCAAGAACACATCTCTCTTGCAAAGCTTTCTTACCTCTCTTGGGTCTTCTCTTATCACTTAGCATTTGGGTAGGAGACTATGGCAGAGCAGGGAGAAACCTGACTACGAGTGTGACATTTCTGGGGTGAAGGGAGCCCCATTTATCTCAGTGTTGCATGTGTAATAACACACCAGTTTTACCCCAGATATTTCCACTTATTTCAGTTGAATCACTGAGGGCTTAAAGGCTGAAAGCAGAAAGGAGGAGCCATATTAAAGCATAAACTCAAGCATAAATCAGAAAGATGGTTACGTTCATGCTTTCTGTGTAGCCCCAAATCACGTGGATTTTTAACCTCTGTTGGCACTGCAAGCTCCCGCAGACTAGAGCTGTGATTTATTTCCTCCTATCTGGTGTAATGACAAGAGAAATTCTGCTCAGATTCAAACTACAGGATCTTAAGCAATGAGATGGGGGCAAAAGGCAAAGAAACAGCCTGGTTCATCTTCAGTGGTCATCTAGGTTAAATTTCCTTTGAACTTTCTAGCCAGTCAAATTAGACAGTAAAATCATGGCAGGATAAACACAGACCCTCTGATGGCAAAATCAGCATCACACATATTCAAAGAATAACCACACGTCAAGATGAGAGCAGTCACAGGCTCTTCTGTCAAACTTTATGAAATGCCACGGGTCTACCTCTGCTCTTCAGAGGTAATGCGGTGAAAGAGTTATGCTTAAAATAATGAAAGCAGACAGTAAGACATCTTTGAAGACAAGCTTTGAAATAGGAAGTCATGTAGATTTATCCATCTTGAATACCATATGCATAAACAACTCCTTGCTCTGACTCTGGTGTTATCTGTTTAATCTGAATTAATTTTGAAACTGTTTCTCTTTCCTCCTTTGGAAAGAAAATAAAATGATAGAAAATTAATTTTTAAAATCTGCTACCATTAAAGCTTCTGTCTTTTTCCCCTTTCCAAATATTAGCAGACCTATAACAAATAAATTCCTACTGTAGTGAATGAAGAACCTGAGACAGGCCATGAAAAAAAGCCCTGCTAAACAATTACACAAAGTCAGTATTTCTCAACCACCAACCACCAGTAAATCTATCAATGGTTGGAACCTTATTGTAAATCATGAGTATCTGCAGAATATGAATCTTCGAGGAATAAGGTCCCCAATAAGAAGGCTTTTAAGGTTTTCCTTTCATTCAGAAGGTATCTTCAAGTTGTTTTTTCTCTTGAGGACTCTCTAGCAATGTTAAAATTACATACATTCAAAGGCTCTTGATTTTTCCTTCATTGCACCTAAAGCACCAGGTGCAGTTTTTACCATCTTTTTAAAATTTGTAGCTTGAACTCCGTTCTCCCTTGTTCATGAGTAATTCTGCTGGATTCAATATCTCAAAGCAACAGCAGAAAATATCCATTGTCATTATAAACACAGTCATCCCTAACTCAGCACAAGTACACTCTTCAGCAGATGAATGCTTAAGAATATTTCTGTAGCTCCTTCCACCCAGAGAGTGCAGATCACTACAAAAATTAATTAATTTTTTGCCCGATTCTTACACTGCAAGGTCTCACTGGGACACAGGCTCATCTTGTTCTGCGTGCAGGGGTGTAAGAGTGCATGACTGAAGCCAGCTCTGAGCTGTGACGAGAGCATCCATCCATCCATCCATCCATCCATCCATCCATCCATCCATCCATCCATCCATCCACCCACCAACCCATCCCACCTTCCACCAACAGCCCAGCTCTGGCAGCTCAACTGTCACCACCATTATATAGGGACAAGCACAAATAAAGGCCCTTCCTATAAGGACATGTCTCTTCTACATTTCCTTTCTCTTCTCTAGAGCTCTAAAACTTCATTTAAACCACACAGTTTATCGCCTGGCAAAATCCATCTTTGGTGCTACCCATAACGATGTGCATGGTTAACACTGACTGTTCTTTATTAAGTTCACCCAATTAAACCAGTCTCCATTGGGAAGGAGGAGGAGGGGTCTTCACGGCTGTAAGACTCTTGTCTTTGCCGCTCACTTCGGGGGATTTCTCAACTTCTTTATATATATTTTTATATAAAATTCACCCATCTCTCCTATCCCACATTGCATGTTTTCAGACTGCTTTCTCAGGGACTGCTGGCGGTGCAGAGATCAGCGAACACGCTTTGTGCTTTAGGATATTTAGGAAAATAAAGGGTCACCTGTGGCGGCTTTACATGCCAGTTTGGTGAGGATAAAGAACAAACTGCCCTGTGTCACCGATGACATTGTGGGATGGTCAGCGGAGAGAAGATTTTAAAAGCAGATTTTGGGGGCAATTTTAGATTCCACTCTGAATAAGCGAACAGGAAGAAAAACCTGCCGATACTTGGAAAAAACTAGAGGGTAAGCAACCCAAAGAGATTCAGGGCAGTTCTGAGAAAGCACTAGGAATTACGTTGGCAGAGTTTAAGTCAGCGATAAGGGAGAGCCAGCACAGAGAGAGGAGGAGAGGGACCTGGGGACAGAGAGACAGAGGCTGGAGAACAGATTCTTTATCTATTCAAAGCAAAGAAGGTGATTCCCGTCCCCCCCCCAATGCGTCATTCCAAAGTACTGGCGAGTTTTGTAACACAGTTGGATGATCAAGCTTAAGTTAAATATAGTTACAATTCTGATAACTTCTCTTGCAGGTCACAAGGCCTAGCTGAGCCTACCGAGAAATGTTCAGATGCCACGATAAGAGAAGCCCAAATTAGCATCCAGAAGGGGAAATGTTGGTTGAAATGTTTCGGTCCTGAAGGTTAGCTGGAGAGCTTTCTGTCTTTCCACAACACAGGCAGTTGCAAACTGCTTATGGTTTTCCCACGTTGTACACCGCACCGATCTCGATCAGTTTTACAGCGTAAATGTCAAGAACGTCTCCTGAGATCAACTGACTCCCAAGTAACTTCATTACACCTCTGGGCCATTTTTGGTTTTGCATTATCATATTTACTTAGCAATAAACCCCTCATTCTCCAGGTACGCTATATAATTGAATTACTTTTATCTTTTTCCTCTTCTTTTGAAAGCCCGAGTGATTTTTTGGGATCATAAATAAAATGAAAGCAGAAAAAGAGTTTCTCAAGAAGCTTTACGATTTGGCAATGCCGCTGAATCCATCAATATTTAATTATACTTTACAAACACCAACAAAGTCGGGTTTCTAACTGTCCCAGTCAGCTGCTGAAATATTCACAAGAAAGCACTAAAAGGATTAGAAAGAAGTCGAATGAGCTTCGTTATCCAAGAATTGTGCTGGGTCTGATCCTTCCTCTTTGCAAGGGATGCCCGGAAATCTCCTGAAGAGGCTGGGGGGATGCATGCCTCTGGGCTGGAGATTTCTGTGGGCTTTAGAAAGAACAGAAACGGCTGAGCTGCTGTAAGGGGAAAAACTTCCCAGAAAAAAACCCCAAACAAACACTGAGAGCCATTAAGCAGAGGCCTGAGCTGCACTGTAAGAGGGGAGGGATGCAGAACCTGGTCTCAGAGGCAGAGGAACATTTATGATACACCTGAGAGCCACCAGCCCCTGCGCTGGCTATCGGCTGTCAGGAAACAAGGCTCCAGTCATAGCTGGAAGCTGAAGCCAGTCAGGCAGCTCCACAGCAGAAAAGGAGAGCTGGTAAAGACAAGCTCAGCTGCGACAGAGATGTGGATTTTAACTGGGAATGGTTGGCCGCTTTGCTCTTCGGCAGCTGGAGCGGGGGAGGAAACTCCTAGAGGTCTCTGTGTCCCTGAACTGCGGAGTTGCATCGCGTATCCATGAACTACTGCACCTTCCTACGACTCTAAAAAGAGAAAGCGTCCTTGCCCACTGCTGCATAAGCACGTGGTTAGTGGTCCTCTTATCCCATAAGGAGTATATAAGCTAAAGCTTGTAAAACACAACCCCTAAGGTGGGTGCGGCGCTCCTTTCGCCACCAGCGGGTCACCGTGACTTGCGGCGATGGCAGCAGCGCAGCAACGGGGTGTGCAGGATTTTTATCCGCTTGGTGAGAACGAGCTAGAAATGTGCAAACGAGACCTAACGCTGCCTCATAAACACAACTGAGTACGCTACAACGAGAAATCAAAAGTAGGTAATAATACGAATACAAACTGCAGCGCTTACAGTCCCTCCCGCGCGATACCAAGGCTGCAAGTTTTTCTCCATAGGGAATGCTCCGCTATAAAGCTGCGCATTACAGTAAAGTTATGTTGGTGTTGTTTCGATCTCTTGCCAGGACCTGGCTTTCTGCCCGTGCTTGGGCTGGTGCCTCCGATTTCTCTTGCACCTGGTGAGAAGCAGGAAGGTTGTAACACCTTCACTAAGTATTCACAACAGCCCCTGCAAGTTGTTTTCCAGGGAGTTGATTGGAGAAAATTCTTTGATTCATCCCAAAACTCAGCAAGGTATGAAACATTGGCGTGAGACAGCAAAACCAGCACTACAACACCTGCGTTTCCCCATGTCGAAGCTTCAAGCCAGCCAAAACCCCTTAATTGCTTCGCCTCTGCTCTTCAAAAGAGCAAATGCTATGAATGCCTCTGCACCTCCATGCAGCATGAGCATGAGGTGGGCAACATCCACTGCCCACTCTGTGACAAAATGAAACTAAAGAACATGAAATAGTCCACTGAAACAAGCCTGAAAAAAACCAAACCTGAGCAAGAATAAAACTCTAGGTCCCTCTCTGCAATGCAAACTGGTAAAGAGAGATACGGCATGAACAGGCTCTAGAGGAAACCTCAGGGCGCCTGGAAGGGTCGGTAACGTGTGCTTTAGATCCAGCAGCGTGGTCTAAGTTTGAAGAAACAGAAGCCTCATACATACCTTGGTCAGCTCTTGGGCATTTGCCAGATTGTCAACCGCGATAGCCAGGAAGACATTCAGGAGCGTATCTTTTGGGGAGCGGTTAAGGAAAAAAATCTTCACGCAGCAGATGGAGTAAACTGTTCCCCTTCTGCTGTCACTGCCCTTCTTTCCCCGCTCACGACCACTGCGGATTGAGCCCCCGCACCACTGCTTTGCCTTCGCTTCCGACCCACCCACCTCTGCCGGGAGGCAGCTCTGCAGCCCAGCTGGACACCCACGTCCCCCCTCCCCAGCACACGCCCCTGCTGAGGACACACGCACGTGCTGAGCGGAGGGGCTTTGCACCGCCGTAGGTACAACCGGAACGGGACCACGTGGTGGTCCCAGAGGCACGACGGCCCCCCTTCTTTCGTTGCAGAAAATCCACACCGACGGTCCTGCCCATACACACACACACACACAGAGGATTTCACCTTCATTTTTCCCTCTTCTTTAAAAGGACAGCCGGTAGAGGTCCTGAAAATGGGTCCTTTTAAAGCCAACTTTTGCATAATATAGACATATAGCTATATAAAGGCATCGGGTACCATGAAAAAGTTAAGCTTGGGTCACTGCTGCCTTACATATTGGTGGGGGGAAACCGTCATGACTTATCATGCTGAAGTTGATATGACAATTAGACCACCACAGACATCCTCTATGCTGAATGCTGCAGCATCACGCAGAGCACAGCTACAGAAGAGCCTGTTAGCAGGACACCCAGCCCGAGCTAACGAGCTCTGACGGGAAATGGGCCATTAGTCCAGGCCAAATCACATGTAGCCCAGCTAAACAACTGCCAGTGCCCACACTAGCCTGGATCTCTCTGCAGAGCACTGCATTATATCACTAAGACATAACATTTCCCTATAATTATTTATTCATATTTTATTTTCATTTTTCCACTTAATGATTTCAGCTATTTCTTGTCCCTTCATATATTTTATTGTTGTTATTCCAACTATGCACCTGCGAAACAGCCCCAAAACAACTGTAAATCAGATACCTATGCAAATGAAAGGAGAGCAAGCGAAGGAAAACCAAGTCTAAACTACTCTTCAAGAAGAAAAAGCATTTTGCTCGTGCACATTACCTGGCGACAGGAGAGTGAGTCACTCCGTAGCCGCGTAAAGCTACGATTGCTCCTCTAAACGTGAACGTACATGAGAATGAAGTTGACCTCCTGAGTATTTACCCTCTGGAGATTCGCAAAGGCTTTAACAGCAACGTGCTGCTACTGCGCTCGTACTGCGCCGTCGTCACCACAGCCACATGCAGGTCCCCGCCAGCTGAGTGGAGCCACTGCGGCAGTTTTAGGCCACAAATCCAGTTATTTCTGTTGGGTTAACGTGTCCCGTGTTTCAGACTGTGGGTTGGAAGCAACGCCCAAAGCAGCGACGCAGGACTGAGGGGCGTCCTGCGCGTGGGGGAGCCAGGCAATCGCTCCGGCGAGGGGAGGAGAGGCGCCGGCTGCCAGGACGCTGGCGATCCTGCGACCAGGCGTTGGGAAACCTTGGCCTCGGCGCGCTCCGATTGCTTTCCATTGCTCCGAAGGATGCCTGGAGGAGGCAGCTGTGGTGCCGCCACGAGCAGAGGAGCCGGCAGCGGTGCGAGGCTGATTCACCCGCTGCCCCTCTCTCTGCTCGGGGGGGGCCAGAAATCCTGGTGCTCCAGCAGCCTCCGGGCAGCAGGCTGGCTGCGGGCGCTGCTGGCTCTGGAGCCGTTGCCCCACGTTGGCATGGCATCAGTTTTCCCAGGGCAGCCAGGGACCAAAGTCGGCCCAAACAACCAGCCCAAAGCTTCTTTCCCTCTCAAGAGCTTTTACCAAACCTAACTCAGCCAGGACTTCAGAACCAGACGTTCACATCCCTAATTCCCATTGGGAGGAGCGTCTCCAGAGCCTGAACGCCTGTCAAAACTAGAGCCTCTGCTTGTGACAGCGGAAGGCAGGAGCTGTATGTCATCTCTTCGGATGCATCTGCATCCTGACTGCCAAACCCTGCAGAGGACAGGACGTGGAGCCCCAGCGTTTCTCCAGGCAAAGGCCAGGTCATCCATCAGGTTTTCTCCACGTCATGTAACACGGGATGGAGGCTTTTATGACGCAAAGATGATTCCTCTGGGGCAGACAGAGATTTGAAATGTGATGCCCATCAATTGCTCCTTCCTCCGTTCCAGCAGAACGGCGAGGAGCGCGGGGTGGGAACACCTCAGCCCCTGTGAGCCCAGCGGGTAAAAAACAAGAAAAAGGGAAAGATGACACTGAAATGATCACCCCCCTCCCACGCTGAAGTCACAGCTCAATCAGCTTTTCATTTGCAAAGATTTCCCCATTTCCTTTTAACCGAGGGTTGGCAAGAAGGAGGTGTCACCTGTGGGCTGGGGGTGCCGGCAGGGGTGCGGGGGCACCACTGCCCGCGGCACTGCC